GATTCTTCTTGATTGAGTATTGGGAGCTTGTATTTTTTGAAGAATATGTCTATTTCATCTAGGTAGTCCACTTTGTTGGAATAGAGTTGTTCATAATACTTTTTCATAATCATTTGTATTTCTGTGGGATCGGTTGTTACTTCACCTCTTTCATTTCTGATTTTGTTTATTTGGGTCCTCTCTCTTTGCTTCTTGGTGAGCCTGGCTAGAGCTTCATCAATCTTATTTATCCTTTCAAAGAACCAGCTCTTGGTTTTGTTGATCTTTTCTATTGTTTTTGTTTGTTCATTTGTTTGTTCATTTGGTCTCTATGTCATTTATCTCCACTTTGATCTTTATTATTTACTTCCTTCTGCTTATGCTGGGCTTTTCTTGTTGCTCTCTTTCTAACTCTCTGAGTTGTAAGGTTAGATAATTTATTACCATTGTTTCTCTTTTTTTGAGGTAGGCCTGCAAAGCTATGAACTTCCCTCTCAAGACTGCTTTCACTATGTCCCATAGATTTTGGATTGCTGTGTTTTCATTGTCATTTGTTGCCCTGATGCTTTTTATTTCTTCTTTGATTTCTTTGGTAACCCAGTCATTGTTTAATAGCATGCTATTTAGCCTCCAGGTATTTGATATTTTTATTGTTTTTATTGTAGTTGGTCTCTAGATTTATGCCATTGTGATCTGAGAAGATGCTTGATATGATTTCTATTTTCTTGAATTTGAAGAGACTTTGCCTGTGTCTCAATATGTGGTCTATATTTTAGAATAACCCATGTGCACTTGAGAAAAATGTATATTCTGTGGCTATGGGATGAAATGTTCTGAAGATGTCAATTAATTCCATCTGATCTAGCGCATCATTTAGGATTGTTGTTTCTTTGCTGATCTTTTTTAAATTTTTTTATTGATTAAGTTATTACATATGGTACTGTCTCACACCTCTCAGAATGGCTATCATCAACAAATCAACAAATGACAAGTGCTGGCGAGGATGTGGAGAAAAAGGAACCCTCGTGCACTGCTGGTGGGAATGCAGACTGGTGCAGCCACTGTGGAGAACAGTATGGAGTATCATCAAAAAACTAACAATGGGGTTAGTGTGTGTCATCACGTTCGAGTGGGGATTAGGAGCAGGAAGGCTGCCTGGCTGGAGCTGTGTGGTCTCCTGCAAGGGAGAGTTGCAGGCAGCAGAACGACTTTGCTGGTGGAGCAGGAGGAGGGATCCCTTTTCTGCAGTCCCAGGAAAAGCAGGGTTTGTCCCCCCAGGTGTCTCAGAAGTGGAATTGGAGGTGTTCCTACAATTGCTTCTGCCACTGTCAAACTCCTTTGGAAGCTTAAGACACCCACTGGACCTCAGTGGCTTCAGGTGCCAACAGCCACCAACAATCATCTGAAGAAGGGGAATTTGGCAAATGATATACAGGTTTTCCAAGACTGAGTCATTACAGAAAACCTTCAAAGCAGATCCAAGCA